GGTCCACTCCTAAGCCTGTACCCAACACAGCTGCACATCACATGAGCTCAGATACACGGAGAGAGTGTCCAGAGCAGCATTGCCCCGAACTTCACAGTGAAAACAACTGGAATGTCAGTCAGCAGTGAAACAGTGGGTGGAGCACTTGGCTGGTTACTGCAAGGTTCGGGGGTTGAACCCACCAGCCACTCTCTCGGAGAGAGAGGCAGTGATTTATAGCCTTGAAAACCCTGTGGGTGAATTCTACGTCCTATAGGGTTGCTATGAGTCTGAATCAACTCAACAGCAGTGGGTGTGGCTTTAGATTTTTTTTCATCACAAAAACGGATAAAACGTTACTACAGCCTTGGTGGCACTGTGCAATGAGTGCTGGACACTAATGCTTGCACCAGCTGGTACATGCACTTGAGAGAAAGATGAGTTTATCTGCTCGCATTACAGGGTCTCTGAAACCCTATCAAAGGTTGCTATGAACTTGAATGGACTTAATGCCAGTGAGTTGGGTTTTGAGATAGACGGTAGCATGGGCAAATTTAGAAACACAAAACTGAACAGAAGGTGTTAATTGTAATAGAATATATGAAGGGTGATGTTAGTTTTGTAAAATTGAAAAGTCAAAATGAGTCTGATTTTTAAAGTCAGGATAGCCTTTGTATTGGGGCAAGAGGTCAAGAGAGTGAGTGAGTCTGGGTTATGCCATGTTGGAAACTCTTTTGTAAAATCTTGGAATAGTTGCAAAGTTGCATTCAATTTGTCATAACATGCAATTGTGTAGCTCTGATTAGCAAGGTGCTTTTCTCTATATGTGTTATATATTGATACAAAGGTTTTCCTTTATTTTGAAATTATGTTTCCATTATAGCATAAGAAGAAATTATGTTAACAGCTTTACTAGCAAACTATTGAGCACCTGGGCTTTGCAATTTTGGGATTGTTCGTTTTAGTGAAAACAACATTTTCATTATAACAATAAATTATTGCGATTATACGGTCTGCAATGCTCACCTTCCCGACACAATCGCTGAAGACAAAAATGGATGCCTAAGCAAATGTGGTGAAGACAGCTGATGATGCCCAGCTATTAGATGATATAGCGTCTGGGGTCTTAAAGGCTTGAAGTAAAACAAGTGGCCATCTAGCAAAGAAGCAACAAAGCCCACATGGAAGAAGCACACCAGCCTGTGTGATCACCAGGTGTCAAAGGGATCAGGTATCAGACATCAGAAGACCCGAAACAAACAGTCTTATCGATGTAAACAAGGAGGGTTGAAGTGGAGACTTAAGGCCCATCTGCAGACAATTGGACATCCCCTCAGAAAAGGGTCGTAAGGAAGGAACGAGTCAGCCAGGGTGCAGCATAGCACTGACAAAACACACAACCTTCCTCTAGTTCTTAATGCTTCTGCCTACCCCCCTCACAAATCCAACTAGACTGGAGCATGTACACTGGTACAGATAAGAGCCCTCGACACATGTATGGAATCCAGGACAGATAACCCCTCAGGAACAGTAATGAGAATAGCAATACCATGAGGGGAGGGGGAAGGGGGAGGAAGGGGGAACTGATCGCAGTGATCAACGTATAACTCCCCAGAACAGAAACAGAAATGTGGGTGAAGGGAGACAGTGTAAGATATGAAAATAACAATAAGTTATAATTTATCAAGGGTTAATGAGGGTTGGGAAAGGAGGGAAAAAAGAATTGATAACCAAGGACTCAAGTAGAAAGAAAATGCTTTGAAAATGATGATGGCAACATATGCGCAAATGTGCTTGATACAGTTGATGTATAGATTGTTATAAGAGCTATAAGAGCCACAAGTAAAATGATTTTAAAAATTGTTGCCATTATAAATATTAGATATAGGTGTTCTTGCCTGGCTTTCACAGTAAACATAGTATAGTCTCAAAATGCATTTGATTGTACATGAAAGACAAGCACTTGCACGTTCAGGATAGGCATTAGATTCTCCAAACTCATACTACCAAACTTCATTCTCGTACCGGA